GAAAGAGAGAGAGAGAGAGAGAGAGAGAGATAAAGTGAGAGTGAGAGAGAGAGGGGGGTGTGGGAGAGGGAAAGAAACAGAAAGATTATGCACGTACGCGCGTGTGTGTAATACAAAAGCATGGACATAGCGATACGCCACTTGGAACGGCCCAGAGTTTCTGAGGCCACCAACAGTACCAAAGTTTTCACACTGACTAACTTTTTAGTTTTAGTACCAGTTTTTCGCCACTTGAAACATAATAAGGTCATATAAGTGCCGAAGATTAGAGGTGTTACAAGAGAGTAACAAACACAAAAAAAAAGGAAGGGAGATAAAGACGATAGATATTATGTTTGAGAGGAAAGAAGGAGCAAACCACACCAGAGCACCCGCCAACCACCCACGGAGGAGAAATAAGGAAGATAGATATTTGACGGGAAAGAAGAAGCAAACCACACCAGAGCACTCGCCAACCATCCACACCGACTAACGAATACACAGCATTAATACAACGCACTATAATTAAGCATACAATAAACCCGCCTCCATACCGCACCCATACACTCTACATCTCCCAAGGCGTTTGTTTTGTTTTAGTAGAGGTTTTACGGCGCTCGCAACTGCATACGGTCATGCAGACTTCAACGTCAGTTAAGGACCATTTGCAAAGTTGGCTAAAATTCCCCGAGGATTTCCGTGCTGCACTTGGTGGTTTTACCCCTTTAGGAAGTTTTACGGTTCGCATTGTTAACCCATTAACACTTTCAGAACAAAAAACTTTTGAATCAACCTCTGCTGTCTTTTTTTCAGATATTTTAAAATAAGGGCTGTCTGTGAAGGTGGTCCTTAACTTATGTGGAAATCCGTATAAATGCCGAAGACTAGAGGTGTTACAAGAGAGTAACAAACACAAAAAAGAAGGAGGGGAGATAAAGACGATAGATGTTTGATAAAAAATAAGGAGCAAACCACACCACAGCACCCACCAACCACCCACACCGACTAACTTATACACTGCATTAATACAACGCACTATAATTAAGCATACAATAAACCCGCCTCCATACTGCACCCATCTACTCTACAACTCACAAAGCGTCTGGGTTTTTTTCTTTTTTGTAGAGGTTTTACGGCGCTCGCCACACAATAAGGTCATATAAATGGCGAAGATTAAAGGTGTTACAAGAGAGCAACATACACAAAAAAAGAAGGAGGGGAGATAAAGACGATAGGTGTTTAATAGTAATAGAAAAGAAGGAGTAAACCACACCAGAGCACCCGCCAACTACCCACACC